AAATTATCAAGAAAAGCAAAGAAGTGATAACATAAAGACAACTGCATCAGGGTTGGGGAGGGGTGACCCGAGGGGTCTTGCATGGTACAGCAGTGCTTTATCACCCTGTGTCTTGGTTTCGCTGCTGTGCCCTTGGAGATAAATCATCGAGTTGTTCATTTTTATTGGGTACAGTTTTCTGTATTACATTCCACAACTAAAGAGTTTCTAAAAGAGGAAATGGAGAAAAAAAGAAAACAAACATTCTTTAGAAGATGACTCACCAGCTCTCTAAACATGGGGAATCTAAGACCAATCTATACTTATTTCTTTCTCTTAAATCTTGTTTCCTCTTCCAGGAAAAGATGCATTTTAACAGTGCTTTCTCTTAGCGAGTATCTTTGGCAAGTTCAAGGTGCATGCTGACAGGTTGTTTTTTGGTTAAGGACAGTAGCAACTTATCAAACAGATGTAACTTAAACCCGCATGCTCCTACCTTCATATACATATTTATTTTTAAAACTCTCCTTTATAAAGATAGTATATTTGACTTTAAGGGATATATTCAGTCATTAAATACTTTTTCATCACATGCTACATTGTGTTTTCCATTTAGAAGACAGATCTAAAACACTAGCCTTATCATTCTTAGGTTTGCAATTTAAATGAAAATCTTACCAGAGTTGCATCCATTGAAATAAAACAGTCTTGGAAATTAAACACTAATTTCCCCTCAAATGGCCATTTCTGGTTTTTTTTTTTTTCTTTCTAATTACCACTGTAATGAAGTGGCCAGTATTACGGTAGGAAGCGATTTCAGAGGCAGCAATCTCTTATTATGAATCATAGACTTTATTTTCCACCCAAATGGGAGTCGGCCTTCGTTATAGAAAATGCCATGTGCAAATTCCATCTCTGCTGAGACTAAAATACTTTTAGAATAACAAATAATACTTTCAGCTCAAAGAAAGAGTAAGCTTTCAAGCATTCAATAAAGCAAAACTGAAGAAGAAAACCATTATATTTTCACTGCGGGATCATTTCTGATCATTCTAATCTGTTACTCTCAGAGGCAGACTCTCAGTGTCTTAAAATACTGCTATATTAATGAAGCCATTTGATAAGGACAACTTGTATCAAAACAGATATGAGGAAAGGCACTTAGAAAGCCATAGAGCACTATGAAAGTGTCATTTTTTGTTAAGCCATTGGTCTGACCATACCCTTCCCTCTCACAGGTCATGGGTCCATTCTGCTTCTAACACAGGACGTCGCCCTTTTTGTTTTCTGTCGAAGTGAAGCTGGACCAAAATATCCAGCTTCCATAGATTCAAAGGAATTTCTCTTTTAACATTGATCATATCTCATGTAGACTTCTGTTTTTCTCTATGTCTCTTTAAAATCATTTTCTGTCAAATGACTATAATGTGCCAGGGCTTCTTGCCTGCGAGTCATGGCACCCAGAATCCTGCATGGAGGTTTAGCTGCCTCATTAGACTGATACTGTGATTGTTTACTCCAAAATAAATAGTGACAAGCATGCGCCCCATTCTTTGGTATCAGTACTATCAAATTTAAGTGGGAGCAGCATCTAGAAATGAGTCGTTAGGGTTACCTATCTGAAAATGAGACATTCTGGGATCTGCAATTTGAACCGCTGGGGTTTTTCTGATGGCAAACACAGAAGATGATTGTGCCGATCATTTCACTTGCCTAGATTGTATATCAGATTATCTTATCTTGTCATACGCAGGAAATTGATAACCTTTTATCCTGATGTCAACGCTAGTGCTGGTTGCAATTTGGTAATAAACAAGAGAAATCAATTTCCCTCCTGGGCATTTCTGAGTCTATTTGGACCCTCATGTATACCCCAAGGGCCTGTCTTCCTCCTACAGCTTTAGTTAAACAGAAATGGATTTACTCTAGGTTGATGGGAGTAGAAAATGCAAACTAGATCTTCAAAAAAGAACTACTACTAACTAAAAAAATTCAATCTGTGAGCAATTCCTGACTACGCAAAATAACTCAAATTTCATGAAGACGTTCTTTCTTCATTTTAAGAAGAAAGGAAGAGGTCTGCCTAAAAAGGTGATAAAAACTTTGGCTCAAAATATAGTGTTGGGCAACATTGCAGAGACAGTGAAAAGATCAGTGGTTGCCAGAGGTTGGGTGGGGAAAGGGAGGGAAGGGGAGGGCCAGGCAAAGCACAGGAGAGACTA